AAGATATTCCGTAGGTGCTGCCAAGAGCTCCCTCCATGATTGCCATCCACCTGGCTGCTCCTGCAGTTGCTTTCGGTTGAGGGGGGGAAAGTTTCTGAACCAAATCTTAAGTTTCAGATAGAGCCGCATATGGGAAAGTGACCATTATGGCTTTGTCCTTTCTTCATGGGTAGTTAATGCCCCAAAGAATCATTTTGATCGCTCTAAAATGTCTTGTGTTCTGTTGTATCTCTCAAGGTTCTCAGCAACCAGGTGAAGCACGGTTCCCTGAATTTGAAAATGAAGTTTGTCTGTGCTCAGTGTTGGAGACACGGCCAAGTTAATGAGCCAGACAGAAACAGAAAATACTGCAGTGCAAAAGCCAGGCACCCGTAAGCCTTTTCTGCTTTTCAAAGGTGCAGGGGGGCGGCGAGTGGGTTTACCTGAGTTAATATGGTTTCCTGTTCAAGTAGCTGCTCTCCTTTTCTCCACCTGAGGGAATCTGTGGCCCGCTTTGTTTCCAGGCTGGCCCTTAGCCACAAAGTAGACTGGTCCGCTCAGGTTGCCTCTCTGCCTCTGTGTTGCCTGACTTGGCTGACAGCAGAGCTTCAAGCTGTGAGACCAAGGCAGGAGTCTTTCCTTCTGCTATCTGATCCCAAAAGCTGCTGTGCTGGGCCTGAATAAAGTCTTCAGCTCCACACAGGGCTTCAGAGCCACTACAGAATTATAAAAGGTGCAAAGCTTTTGAGTTCTCTGCAGCTCTTCAGCAGCCTATTTCAGCACTTCTCAACTTTGGCAACTTCTTCAAGCATTGCTAGCAGGGGAATTCTGGGAGTTGCAATCTACACATCTTAAAGTTGCCAAGGTTGAGAAGTGCTGAGCTAGATAAGCCCCTCTCACCTGAAAGCGGGGCGCTGTTAAAAGCCCCAGAATCTGCATTTAGGATGGACTCAGGGAGGAGACTTTAGGTAGGCATGCTTGTCCCAGGATGATGTCCAGGTGCTGCCAGGCCCTCTTGGGGACTCCTGGAACAAGGCAGCAAATAGTTGTTGGACGCCAAGTTACAACTGTTTGATGTCCATTTGTTTTGGAGGGGGTTGTCAGTGGTGTCCTCAAGAGTTTTGTTCAGATCCACAAGCTGAGACATTTCCATTTGTGGGAGTTCCATTTTGTTTTTGAGGCAGCCATCTTGAGGCAATGATGTAGCTGGGTGGGCCTTTCATGTACAGGTGGACCAAAGATCGCCGTGTGATGCTGGTGATGTCAAACGAGCGCAAGAAGTGGAATACAATTCGCCCCCTTCCCACAAAGAAGCAAGTGCCTTTGCAATTTGATGTGAGCATGTCTCTATAACCTGCTTTTTTTCTTTTCTTAATTTGTTCTTCATTAGAGAAGCAACTTTGCATGATTATCCAAGTTTTATCCAAGTCAGTTTGTTATCCTATTTTAAAATGTTTTTCAACCATTTGAATATTAACAAAAATCCTAGACTAGGAAAATAAGGATAAAATTTACCTTAAGGGAATGGAGGTAATTTATTTGCCTCCCATTTTTCTCTGAAGAGGGGTTGCAAGGGGTACTCTGTAGCCCTTGAGTCAGGTGGACTGAGAGAGTGGCCCAGATTTATCCATAGGGGTACATGCCAAGCCCTCTGTGCCCTCAGAGTCACTTGCAGGCCAGAACAGGCGTTGGCTTTGCTGATCTCGCCGCTTCCTCCTCCTCCTCCTCCTGCCATCCAAGCCCCTTGGTTGCCCAAAGCTCTTGCTCTCCCCCCCCCCCCCAGGTAGAACACGTCTTTACTGACTGGCTCCTTTCCTTTGTCTAGCTGTGCAATCATATTGCGTCAGGCAAGAAGTGTTTGTATGTTGGGAACTGCTCCTTTGCTCACAGCCAGGAAGAGAGAGAAATGTGGACGTACATGAAAGAGAACGGCAGTAAGTAAACCATTGCTGAAAGCAGGAAGTGAATCCATAGGCCTTACGCCTTCGCGGGTGCCCTTCCTTCCTTTCCCCCTTCGTTTAGTAGATGGGTCTCTCCTGTTTCTGTCCCCTCTTTCTGGGGATGACCTGGTTAACATTTGGCTTCCGGTAGTCTAGTTCCTAGATGGAAGCATTACCTTAAAGATCTGAGAGAATAACCCCAGGTTTCTGTGACAGAATTAAGTTGCATTAATAAGAGTCCTTGAGTTTATTCTGTTAGTAATAACTCGCTTCTCAGCTAAAGCCCACTCAGAGAGTCTCCTTGCTCAAATGTCACTTGCTCCTTTCCTTCAGTTCAAGACATGGAGCAGCTGTATGAAATGTGGCTGAAGAGTCAAAAGCCAGAAAAAGGAGAGGATACAGTCCCTCAAGCAAACAGAGAAAATGGGAAACAAATTCATATGCCAACCGATTATGCTGAAGTCACAGTAAGTCACAGAGACCGAGCAATTACCCTGGATTCAGCCTCCTTGCTATGCAATGCTTGCTTGATGATTGTGTGGCCTCTTGGCAGAGGAGAGAGCTTTCTGAGGCGCTGAAGTGCAAGAGGTCGGGATGTCCGGAATCTTCTGTTCTGGGTGTAACCTAAGCATGCCTAAAGCCAGCCCTGGAGGGCTATTTACTGGTTGGTAGTAGCGCCCTGCGGCTTATATGCTTGTGTGGCTTTTGGGGAGGAGCCAGCAGGTACACCCAGGCCCTCTCAACACATTCACTTCTGGAAAGCTGCAAGTTTGGCTCTGTGCAAATTAGATTTTTAGATTTACACGTGCGGCTGCCCTGCAGTTTTCCTTTGGGTTGTATCAACAGGTAGACTTCCATTGCTGGATGTGTGGCAAAAACTGCAACAGTGAGAAACAATGGCAAGGCCATATTTCTTCTGAAAAACATAAAGAGAAAGTTTTCCACACCGAAGATGACCAAAATCGCTGGCAGCATCGCTTTCCAACTGGGTGTTTCAGCATTTGTGATAGGTAGGTTCCTTCTGAAAATTTGGGATCTGCTTATTACATCAACACAAAGGTAGCAGTGATGGGTTATGATTCCTTTAGGCTCCCAGTTTAGCAGAGTTGAAGTAAAATTGTTAATCCATTTCACTGTCTGTAACATGCCAAAAGCTGGGCTTCTCTACTTTGCCTTTTCAGTAGCGAGCAGAACTGATGTTAAGTTTGGCAGCAAGGCCAAACCACAATAAATAAGCCATCCCTTCCCCCCCCCTTCATTGCCTGCTTAGAGAGGCTCAGCCAGGTGGGAAGCTGGCACGGATGGCAAAAGGCCTTGCCTTGTATCCGGGGTTGCATTCGACCCTTGGTGCCATGCACTGACATTGTATTCGAAGAAGGTGTGACTCGCTTGTTTCTGTTGTGCAGATTTCTGGCTGGGGCATGTATCGAGGGAAATAACTGTAAATTTGCACATGGATCGGCTGAACTCCGCGAATGGGAGGAGCGGAGACACGTCTTAAGGATGAAGTTCAACAAAGCCCAAAAGGACCACTTGATTGCTCCCAACGATAATGACTTTGGAAAATATAGTTTTTTGTTTAAAGATTTAAACTAATATGATAACAATGCATTGTGTTGCCAGATGGAAGCATAAAATCAGAATTTGACAATAATCAAAAGCATGTGACAGAAGCTGCAGATTTTCTGCTTTTATTGGCCCGTATTGTTCCTCCTGAAGAACAAAATGTAGTAGATGTGTTAGGGGGAGTAAGTTGGCGGGTCTGTCTGTGCTCTCATGAAACAGAATGGTGAAGTCATAATAAAAACCACAGCCTGAAGTCTTACGTGCTTATTCGCCTTCTGTTGGACAGAAGAAAGCTGGAAAATAGCCAGAGGAGGGTGTTGTAATGCCAAAGGAGCCCCTCCGGCTGGCCTTTCAGCTGAAACCTTTTAAGGTAGGCTTCTTAAAACAGAGGGTTTGAGCTCAGAAGAAAATGATGGATGAAATTCTTCAGATGTTTTAATGGAGAAGATTTCTTTAAAAACCAGTTTGCTATTTATCTCTATGTAGGTTGCTTAATAAAAGGATTTTCTTATTAAAAAGATTTTAAGCAAAATAACCATTTAACGACTATATGTTGAATGGGGTATTTTTCTCTATTTGTATGTTTCAATATAACTTACCAAAAAGGATCTTGGAAGAGAGATGTGTATTACTTTTTTGAGAATCAAGTAGTTAAAAATTTTCTTTCTTGGTCTTTACTGTTAAATGATGATTTTGAAAGATTCAGGTTGTATGTCAGTATTGTGTATTGTATGGACCAATATTGCCTGTAATAAAAAACTTTACATAAAGACTTTCCTAAACCCATCTCGGTCTCCTAAAAGGATCATTGATAAGGAATCCGCCTGAAGGGAGACCCAGAGGGAGAGACCTGCCTGCCTGCCTGCCAGGTGGGAGGCGGGGGCACCTGGCCCGGTGTCGCTGGGGAGGTGGGGGCGCTGCCCCTTCGATTGGCCCGTTGAGGGGCCAATCAATACCCGCGCAGGCGCCTTCGTATTGGCTGAGAGGAGCCGGCCCACCCGTATAAAAGGGACCGGCCGGGGCCCTGGCTTCAGTCCCCTCGGGTCGCCCGGAGTCGGGGCGGTCCGGTCGTGTGGCGCCCTGGCGTCAGGTGTCGCCGCTGCTTTCCGGAATATCCGGAGGGCCCCCCTCCCCCAAGGGCGCTCCTTTCTCACGTTCCGCCTGACCTGGGTCGGCGCAAGGACGGGACGCCGAGGAGGGGAGCGCCCCTGCCCCGATAGACTTCTCCTGGTGCGGAGGCTCGTCGCGGGCCATGGCGGCGGAGGGCGGGCCCGAGGAGGAGGAGGAGGCCGGGCGTCGCGCGCCCCCGCCCCGTCGCGCCGTCATCGGGCGGGCCGGGAGACGTGGCGGCGCCCCGTTCGGCTTCCCTGCGTGGGCCCGACCCGGAGGCGCGCTCGGCCCCGCCTCGGGCAGGCAGGCCCGGCCGCCGGGGAGGGGATGTCGCCGGCCAGCGAAGGCCCCGCCGCCCCGCCACCGCCGCCCGCGCAGGAGAGCGGAGCGCCCGCCGCCCCCCGCATGGCCCGGCGGCCCGAGGTGCTGTGCGGCGCCGCCGTGGTGCTGGGCTGCGCCTGCCTGCTGGCGCTGCGGGCCTCGTGCAGGTGAGCGGAGGGGCCCGGCGGCGGGGCTCCCTCCGGCGGAGGCCCCCGTGCGCCGCCTGCTCCGGCCGAGGCAGCCTCGCGCGGGTCTCGGGTGGGGAGGGGCAGGCCGGGCCGGCAGCGTCTGGGGGGGTGGGGTGCGGGGCTCCGGGTCTGGGGCCTTGAAGGCGCGCTCTTGCGACCCGCGTCTGTTCCCTAACGCGAGGAACACAAGCGGGGACAATGCCCGCCGGGCCCGGGCTGTGCGGGGAGGTGGCCAGGATTCGCCCCGAGGCCCCCGCCCCGTCATGCTTCCTTCCTGGGCAGGCGGGCAGGCAGGGCAGGGGCCGGTGGAGGTGCTGCGTGGGGCCTCGGGGCGAATCGTGTTTTCCTGAGTGGGAAAGACTGGAAGGAAGGAAGCGCTGCCTGGCCCGAGAGAGCCGCTTGGATGCGGCTAACGGGACTGGGGGGGGGGGCGTGAATGCGACTGATGGGGGTCTGTAGCGCAGCTGCCTTTGGAAATAACCCTGCAGGATTCTCTGGACCTGCCCGTCCCGTTTTCTCCACCCTTTCTGCCCTCCGCGTTAAACATGTATTTGAAAACTTTCTCTTAGCATTTTGGGAATCGAGTGGGACAAAGATCAGAAAGCCTGGGAAAACTGCTGGAGCGGAGCCCTGGCTTGCTCACCCTCCTGCCCTCCCGCCTTTCCCTTTGGGAAAGCCAACAGGCAGGAGACGAGGATGGAGCATTTCTTCTCCAGCCTTTGGAAGCTCCCTTCTCACAGGCCATGGTGGGGGACCCCAGCCCAGGGGGCTCGAAAGGGAGGTGGGCAAAGGAGGCATCGGTTTCCCTGGTTCGGGGGCCCAAGGCAGCCTGTCCCTACGGATCCCTGATGGTGGGGCTGGCCTCGCTCCCATGTTCAGTCCCCTGGCTTTTCAGGAGCTAGGCGTGGGTGTCTGTGGGCTGAGCTCAAAGGACTTTTCCTGCAAACGGACTGTGGGCTGAAGAGCTGTCAGTGTTTTTCCAGCTTTGTCTACTAGTAGGTAGAGGGTGCAGTTCTGTTGATCTTGATCTCTGAGCCCCCTTCTCCCCTTCCCCAGCCGTGCAAAAGATGTGACAAGGCCTGCCAAGCTGCCTGTCAGCTTCTTCCCTTCGACATCACCAGTCCACGATCTCTTTCTTGGGCAGCTGGACCAAGCGGAGGACATCCGTCACAGTTCAGAGATCTCACTGTTGTTTTTTTATGCCCCATGGTGTGGCCAGTCAGCCGCCGTGCGGGAAGAGATCGAGCAAGTGGCAAAGAGCCTGGCAGATCAGGTAAAGGAGGGTGGCTGTGGTCAGTAAAATGCCAGGCCTCAGAGGGGCTGCCAGTTTTGGTCCGCTGCAGGTCTTTTAAGGCGCAGCCTGCAGCTCAGGATCACATTGATTGCTGTGTGTGTCTCAAAAATGCTTTCTGAATCAGCCAAACTTTTTGTGCTTGCCTGTTTTATGTTCTCCCCCTCCCTCCCCCCCGTAGGTGTTGTTTATAGCCATCAACTGCTGGTGGAACCAAGGGAAATGCCGAAAGCAGAAGCATTTTTTCTACTTTCCTGTGATATACGTGTACCATCAGAGGTGAGAACTTTTGTGAAACGGATATTGGAGCTGTAATGGGAGGAAAAAGACTGACCATCGTGTAATCCCAGAGGCCTGAACGAAGTGGAGGAGGTGGGACTTGAGGGTAGCTCCAGCGAGGCTCTTTCCAGTTCTGGTTTCACTTGCTGCATCCTTTGGCTGTCGCCAGCCTTTTCTTCAGTGCTCTTGGGCTGAGGGCCTTTCCAGCTGCTCAGACTGCTCTTTGGGGCCAGGCAGGGAGTTTTTGCAGGCTGAGGAGGGCATCAGGCTAACACTGAGCTCCTCTCTTGTTTGGGATGTCCAGCAACCTTGTGCCCAGCCAAGAGTTGGCTGCGTCTTCAAACTGAAAAAACTGTATTTCCATTTATATTAAATTCTTCCTTGGCAGACTCTCCTGGCCTTTAATGTTGAGGTTCTGCCTTTGCCAGCTCCAGCCATTCTCAGCCTAGGAATTTGATTTGCATTGGCAGATTCTGACACGATTTCTGTTTTCTTCAATGGCAGCTTTGGGCCCATCGAATACAAAGGGCCAATGAATGCTGTTTACATTGAGAAATTTGTCCGTCGAGTGATGACTCCCCTCCTTTACATCTCATCTCAGTCCAGACTGCAACGGTTCCTCTCCAGTTACGAGGTAACCTAATCTGCTCTGGAGGTGACAGTGCCAGGCCTCTAATGTTGGGCCTCGCTGCTTTCAAAGGCAGTCCTACCATCCTTCACTGCAAATAGCACAGCCGTTTCTTTTGAGGCTCCTAAAAAGTTTTAAGTTCCTCATTGCAGCTTTTTAAAATTAGAAATTGGTTGGCATCTTTCCTAATTGGCCGAGTCCATTTCACGACGTTGGGAAAGAGGGCCATGGCTCCAGGGGGAGCGGGGGGGGGTGTGTCAGCATGATAACATTCTGAAATCTCTGTACCCCTCCCAAAGTCAGAAACCCACGTCAGCTAAGGTAATCATTGGAGGAAATGATTACCTCTGCATTTTCAGAGCGGAGGCTTTAAACCCAAGGATGTATTTCTGTTCAGGGAATTGGGGGGGGGGGGTTGGGGTACGTCACAGCTGGCAGCGTCTCAGAAGCAGCTCGTCTCTGTGCAGCGAAGGGAAGGATTTCTTTGCAGACAGTGCCTGCCTTCCCTCCCCCCCCTCCCCAGTTTTGAAATTGTGTTTTTATGCTTTTCAAGGTAGACCAATTAGATTAGGGTAAGGGAGGAAGAACAGGAAACAAATGTCACCTGGCGTTCCAGTTACTGCTTATATTTTTGGTGTCTGCCTGCCTAAGCTGAGTTTGTGGTCTGATTGTGGTTTGCGGGTTTTCTCTGTTGCTTCAAGTCACCAGAGGGAGCCAGCTGGAAAGACACACACCTCTGAGTAGATGAGCTGGCTTTTCTGCCAGGTCTATTTAGCTGCTTTCCTCCCTAAAATTTGCCCGAGTCAGATTTTAACCTTTCCCAGCTCTTGCAGCATTTGGGCAGTTGCTGGATCTTGCACCCAGTGCAATTCCTTTTTGTAAATTGGGTGTTTGTAGTCTATCTCCCCTTGCCCACTCTGGCCGGCAGCAGCGAGTACGGCCATCTCCCTGCGAAGGGACTTCCCGCGTTCATTTTGTCCTGCCTTTCCTGTGCCTGTTGCAGCCCGGCGTCTTGGGCTACTTTGAGTTCAACGCTTCTCCCCAGCCCCCCGGCTACCTGACCTTCTTCGCTTCGGCACTGCACTCCTTAAAGAAAGGTCAGTGACGGGGCTGCCCTTTTGGCTTGTGGCCTTCCTGGCTTTTCACTTTTAGAGGAGTCAGGGTAGGAATAGCTTTTATGGCGTCTGTGCTGCACCAGTTCAGGTTGTGGCGTGCTGTGTCCGGAGGGGGCAGGCGCTGCTTTCGAGGAGATGCCATTTTCTGGCCTCCATGGCAACAGAAGCAGCCTAGGTGACAAAGAGTGCAGCTGGATGCTCACTGGGGGGGGGGGAGTTTTCTGCAGGGACTCCTAATTAACCCTGTTTGAACCTGGGGACAGGCAGCTCTTATGGCCACTTCCAGCCTGGCCAAAGGAGGGAATGGTGGAGCTGATGGAAAATCTGCCTGTCCCGATTTGTCCAAGGGCTGCAGGGCTCTTTCGGCTGCTCCCAGGCAACCCACAGCCTCTGGAGCCCCAGGGACCCAAGGTGGAGGTCAGAGGCTGGGAAGCCCCCATGCTCTTCCGGTGGCTGCTGGAGTGGCTAGACCAGGCTGGAAGCCTCTGCACCAGTCGCAGATCTGGGTAGTAGCCAGAGAAGGTGGACAAGCAGCTCTGCCTGCTGAGCGGGCTCCTGGGAAAAGCCAGCTGTGGTGCAGTTGTTGTTTTCTTTATGGGATCCCTGATGTATTCTGACAGATTACCTGGGAACCATTCACTTTGGGGTGATCACAGATAGGCTGCTTGCCAAGGACATTGCGCTGACCGACTCAGGCACCATCTACTTGCATAGACACGTCAACGCATCCCTTGTGAGTAATGCCTTCCCAGTTCGCAGGCCGGAAATAAGCCAGCGGAGCCTCAAGAACAGTCCCAGCAGCTGTTTCTGGGCTCAACAGCAGCTTTGCTGGGCAGAGGAAGCATCTGTAAAGAAACGAAGCTGTTCCTCTGAAGGGGGTCCAGGCAGGAGCAGCTTTTAAACAAAAAATTAAAGGTAGAGAAAGGCATTTCATTGCTTCCACCAGCCTATAATCCCGTTCTGCTCAGCAGTTCCCAGGCTCAGAACTGTGCCGGCTGCCCTTCCCTGTGACCTTCTGTGTCAGGTGGAATTTCTTGGGTGATCCTGCTTGCTGGTGGGCTCTGCTCCTATGAACTATGCTGGGAATCGAGCCAGTTCCTTCTGTCGGGCACAGAAAAGCTTCCTTCCTGGATCAGCTTCTTTGGAACCCTTGCAGGGGTTTCGTGCACAGTCCTGGGGTGCAAGAGCTGGGTGGGTGGGAGCATCTGCTGAGGGTGGCCTGCATCCCGTCAGATGATCGGTCCAGCTGCTCGTTCAGTGACTTGCTTGCAGCACCTGAGAACAAACTCCTCTCCTTTTAGCTCTATCCCCATGAAGCCCTGAATTTCACTGCTGAAAACGTTTGGAAGTGGGCCCTGGAGAACCGGGAGACTTTCCTCCACTGGCTGAGACCCCATGGGGGGAAGAGCCTCCTGCTGTACAACGAGCTGAAGAAGGGGCCAGCCCTTTTCCTCTTCCTGCCCTTCGACCCCCTGGCTGAGAGCCACCCCCTCCTGGATGAGGTGAGTGAGAAGGATGGCCTGGCAGTGCCCGCAGGCCACTGGCTGTGCTGGACTGGCCCTTGGTGGCACAGCTGCCCCTCCTTGGTCGTGTGCTGGCCCCACGCAGTGTCATCCTTGGAGAATCTGCAGTTCAGAAATGTGGGGTCCAAGCCATTTTTTGGCCAGGCATCCCAGAACAAGCCCAAGGGAGGAGCAGAGGCCTGGGATGGCTGCTGGTCGGCCTAGCCGGCTCTGGGATTCTAGGCCAGGAAGAAGCCACCTCTGCAACAGCCATCAGGCCCTGGTTCTCCCAGGGCTGCGTCTGCAGCTGTGGGGTTCCCCGGTAGGAGCAGAGTCATGGCTTCCTCTTCTGTTGTCTAGATCTCCCAACTGGCCTTGGAGTACAAGAGCTGCAAGCGAGGCCACCCCCAGTCCCTGCAGGGAGGGGGCCCCTCGGTGGCTGCCGGCCTCCACGTCCCCACAGCTGAAAGCGCCTCCAGCCCCCCTTGCTGCAACACGGTGTTGCTGCCCGCCCAGTGGCATAGCCTCTCCCGGACCCACAACGTCTGTGAGCTGTGCGTCAACCAGACGGGCGGGGTGCAGCCCAGCCCCCTGCTGCGCCTACACTGCAGCTTCATGGCCATCAAGGCAGCCGTGGACTCCTTCTACCTCAAGGAACGGACCTTCTTCCATGTCGTGTCCAAGACCGTTTCCTGGTGCAGCCACTTCCTCAGCTTCTACAGCCCTTTCAGCTCCTACACTGCCTGCTGCAGGACAGTGAACAGGGACCTGCTGGACTTGGTCAGGGCCGAAGGGGCCTCTTTCCACCCGCTGGAAGTCTCCTTTGCTCCCCACAGAAAGAGCCAGGAGGAGGACGCCTCCGAGCCTCTCATTGAGCAGCAGGCTGGCCTCTCTGGCTCTGCCGTGGCCGGTCTCAGCTGCAGGACCAACAAGACCCTCAACCTCTACCTGCTGGACTCAAACCTCTTCTGGATGTACGCGGAGAGACTGGGGGCCTCTGGTTCTCCCCCGGCGAAGGAGTTCGCTGCCATCGTGGACCTCAAGGAAGAGGTGCATTACGTCCTGGGCCAGAAACGGGCCCTCTTGAGAGCCAGCCTTGGTACGGCCTGCTGCTGCCCCTCCATGGGCTCCATCTTCACGGCAGGGGCGGGAGGAGGACGGCAGCCGAGAAATTTTGCTCAGGAAATGCAGCGTTTTCTCTTCAGCGCTTTCTCTCCTTTCCCGCAAACCTTTTATGCCGTGCTTGATCCCAAGGAGATTCAGAGCAGATCTTGCTTCGTTGACCCGCTGGGAGGACTGGGACATCCCACTGATCTCCTGCCTCTCCCTTGCAGAAACCTTCATCCGAAACTACACGGTCCTGTACAGCCCCTTGAAAAGGCATCTAGTCGGTGACCCCCGGCCCAGCCAGGCCCACCTGCAGCAGCACCTGGTTCAGGAAATCACCACCAGCACTTTCCACGCGCTGATACTGAGGAGCCCAAAGGTGATACTGGCGCGGTGCCCAGAGCTCCTTCTGGGGGCTGCTTTGCTTCCCAGCTCTTTTGGGCAACACTCCCCCCCACCAGAGGTTGGGGAAGGCTGCCAGGACGGTTCCAGTTCAGGGATTTGCATTTTGGGGAAGAGTTTGGCCAAAGCACTTGGGAGGGGCTGTCCCTGAGGCGGTCTCCGCTCTCCCATGAAAGGAGGGGCTTCCTCCCCAGGTTGGGGATGACTTTCAGCAAATGGGAACACGGGGTCTCCTTCAACTGCTGCCTGTGTCACCTCCTGACCTGCCTCCCCCCCCCCCCCCAGGCTGTCCTGCTGCTCTATTACGCCCCCTGGTGCGGCTTCTGCGCGTCTCTCAGCCACATCTTCATCCAGCTGGCTCGGATTCTGCCCCCACCACGCTTCATGGTGGCCAGGTAGGCAGGCGTCGCCTTCGTGCTCCTGGAATCCGAGGGGATCGTTTCCTGGTGCCAAAGAGGGAGCACAGGCTACCTCACCCCTTCTGCCTTGGGGATCTCGGTGCCATTTTGGGGGAGCTGGAACCTCTGAGAGGGCCAGTGGGCCTGGGCACCTGCCCAACTTTTCTGTCTACAGCCGGGACCCCTCCTGCCTATTCCTGGCCAAGTCCCCGCTAGGAAAGTGACGGAAACTGGGGCACAAAGGATCTCCCTCTGAAAAGTCTCCTGGGGCCCCTCCGTCCCCTTTCCTCTCATGCCCTTCTACAGAGAGAAGGGGGGGAGCCATCAGGTGTGACCCCTAATTGGCAGGTGCTCTGCGGGGCTCAATGGGCAGAGAAGAGGTGCTCTTTAAAGGTTGTTTCTCCTGTTGCTTTACTTATTTTTGCCAGGTGTGATTTGCATACAGCAGAAAAAAATCCCAGTTGTTTAAATCCAAATGAAGCCATTTTGCTGTTTTTGTCTGTCAGAGATTTTGAGCAGAGCTTGCTGATGCTTGACTTAGCTGCACCGGTTCTGCCCAAAGGCTTGCACCCCAGGCCAGCTGCTGCTCCCCGGAAAGTAGGGTCTCTTTGGGACACCTCTCTGCCGAAGCCTGCACACTTCTCTGTTTTAATAGGATTGACGTTTCTCAGAACGATCTCCCCTGGGAATTCATGACGGACCACCTACCCAACATCCTGTTTTTTCCTCATGATCGGCAAGTAGCACATTTTGCATCTGGATTGTGAGGTTTTCATAAGATATATGTATAATATGGGAAGGAAACTTCATTGCAATAATACTATGTTAGATTGAGTAAAAGCCTTGATTATCAGAGAAAAAAATGTATTGCAATTATACAAGCAGATAAAATAGCAAGCAGATTCTCAGGCTCTTGAAAATTCACGGAAACTCTGTAGTTCACAACCTAGTCTTGTAAATTACTAGCATAAAATACTGCTTTTTTTCAGAAGGCAGAATTTCAATGCAACAAGAAACCAATTTGTATCTGAAAGGGCTGCGGGCTTAAAAGCAGTAATTTTGTTGTCGTTGCCTCTGAATTAATTCCTGGTAACTGCCTGGATGAGCAGTTTTCTTGGCAAGGCTGACCATTGCCTGCTTCCTAGGGTTGAGAGAGGGACTGGCCCAAGTCACCTAGCTTGGAAGAATTAGAACTCGTTTCCAGCCCGGTGTCTTAACCAAACTGGCTGCCAAAGCCACACGGCCCGTCTGGGTAACTGAGCCTCTCCTTCGTCCCTGGGATACCCCACAGGCCTGATGTCACAGGCGCCATAGAAAGTCGGCCAGAGCTCCTTTCTCCAGCCAGGCGAAGCGGCAATTAAGTGGATGAGCCGGTTGCTCGAGGTGAAACCCAAAGTGTGGATTTCCTGCTCAGTGTCTTCCCTCCCTGGGCTTCGTGATTAAACGGGGGCATTTTAAGGGGTGGGCTGCACAGGAGAGCAAAACGGGGGGGTCAGAGGCTGCTTCTCCCCCCACCCCTTACAGTCACCTGAAATGCTGGGGGGTGGGAACACTGGCTTAAGTTCAGCCACAATTAATTTGTTGCTTAGTTTCCTCTGAAGAAAAGAATGTGGCAAATGCCGCTCACCTGGAATTTCACCTGTTGCAAAGTTGTAAGGAGTGCTGGCCCAGCCAGATTGTGGCTTGGACCTGCAAATTGGAGGGATCCAGGACTTGCCAGCTGGCATCTTGGCCCGATGTTGGGCAGGATGAATAAATAGCTGCTGCTCTGCTGGTTTTCTCAGGATTTCACAGCTGCTGCTGCTGCTGCTGCCGCCACCCAGAGCCAGCATTTCCTGCCCTTCTGCTCCTGGAATAGAAACTGGCAGAGCAGCTCCCTCCCTCCCTGCTATCTTCAAATCCTCGGGTGGATTCTTGGGAGTCTTGCAATCCCCTCGCCCCAAGCCGGGGATCCCCTCCGCACTGCCCTCCTAGCTTAACACAATCAAAACCAAGGGAAAGGCTGCCTGGGAGGGACGTGCCAAGGAGGGTTGGGCCGTTTTCTCCATCCAGGCAAAGGGGGCATCTCATCAGCAGGAGGCTGTCCAGAAGAGATTGGACAACCATTTGTCTAAAAGGGTTTCCTGTTTGATCATGGGGTTGCGCTAGAAGACCTCCAAAGTCCCTTCCGACTCACTCTGTTATTCCACCGTTGACCCTTTGTGCCAGCGAGGCTCACCCTTCTCTTTGCTCTCCTAGGAAGGACCAGACTTCCAAGTTTCCCACGGCTTCCCTGATTAGTGTGCCCAACCTCCTGAAATTCATCCTCCGCCACTCCAGCCCTACCTTCCTGGCTGCGGGTTGGGGGCCCGGACTCTGGCAAGAGACCGACCTCCAGCAGGCACGCATCGCCCATCTGGAAAAGGAGATCGAGCTGCTGAAGGCAGAGATCCGGGCCCTCCACCAGGCCCAGGGGCAGCTGCAGGGGCAGCTGTCCGAAACCCGGAGCGAGAGCCAGCGGCTGCAGCGAGAAACTCACGCCCTGAAGCAGCAGCAGAGCCACCGGGAGCAGCTGCAGGGGCTGTGCAGCCAGAGGAGCTGGCAGCTGGAAGACCTGGCCGAGAAGCTGCGGAAGCTGGCCGAGGCCTCAGAGACCCTCCTGACCGAGAACGCCTTCCTGAAAGTCCTGCTCACCATTGCAGAGAAGCATCGGGCAGCAGAATTGGGCCCGGAACACAGCTTCCCCCCCGAGGACGCCGCAAGCCTCCCGCCCCCCGGGCAGGACCACTTTCCCCAGGTGGAAAAGGAGGGGGCTGGCCCGTTGGACTCCAGGGTCCCCGCAGAGCATAGCAAGGAGAATTGGACAGAGTAGCTCTGCTGAGCCTGGAATAACAAGCAAGTCAAATCTGGAGCAGAGAGACCTTTATGCAAACTTTATTGAAGTGTCATTAGAAAGCCTCCCTTCTTTTGCTGGACTAGAAAAATGAGAGTATTTTTTTAATGAGCCCTGGACCCAGAGTGACAGGTCTTGGGATCTGTGAAATTGTCAAATTGCAGGGATTGTTCTTTGCACTTTAAAATTGCACTAATTTGTTAGCTTTTGTATCAATTTAACCTAAATTAAACAATTTGGAGGGTGGCCACACGAGGCTTCTCTTTTCCCACCCACAAACAAGGCAAGATTACTCCATAAGTGATTTTTCCTTCTTCAGCTCAAAACTGGTGTCAGATTTACACAAAATGTTCAACCTGGTTACCTTCAGGATTTCTGTTTAGAGAACTTCCAGGAGTGTTAATTACACAGTTGAGGGGGGGGGAGAGCAAGGGCTTCCACCCCACCGTGTCCCCCTTCTCTGTGCCTGGCACAGCTGCTCTGCCTCTTCTGGCTGAGGAAGCCTCTGACTTGCTCTGGGAGAATGAAATAGGTGGGGGGGGGGTTGATAAGAGGCTGTCAGTGGCAAGCAATACTTAGGCAGCTGGGGGTAACAGGATGGAGTCACCAAAATGCTAGCCATGAACAAAGGAGGGGGAGCGACAGGCAAAGGCTGTGCAAGACGCCCCCCCCCCCCCGGGGGTCTCTCCAACTTCTTTATTTACTGCATTTCGGCAGCCGGTCAGAGGGGCTGAAGTGGGGGATTCTAAGTTTCTTCCCCTTGCAGTGCGTTGCTTAGGCCAAAGAGAAAGGAAGGGGGTCCTTGTTCTGTGAAGCACCAGGGTCTCCCTTTGGCCATAAAAGCACAAGTGGAAATGAGCGAAAGGTCGCAGATGCTGGGAGGAGGGGAGTGCTCTCCCCCGGGTGCTTGGCTGGGTATTCCCAGAACCCCCTTGAAGAGGATGGGTTTAGCTACAAAAATACACTCACTGGGAACAAGTGCTAAGCTCCCCCCCCCCCAACAGAGAGTGGAACTCAGAGCATCCACAGGCAAGGGAGGGGCTAGTTACACAAAGGCCTTTCTACCCTATTGCTGCACACACTCCAATCCCGGCCTCCCAGCAGCCTTCTGACTGCACCCCAAAAGGAAAGCGGTCATCACTGGCTACGGGGGCGGCTGTTCCCCCAAGAACACCACCTTCACCTCAGGGAGAGTAGGCTCCCATCATTTGATTACAATTCCCATCATCCCCAGGCAGCATCAGCAGGTCCTCACGGAAGTAGGTCCCGTCTGCATGTTTGGGCCCCTTTTAAAGCACACGAACGAAACAGCTTTGCAGCTGCAGCTGCCAATACAAGCATTGATCCTCTGTCCTAGAACACAAGACACAAGTCCAACATCCCCCCCCCTCGGTTGGTTTTGGAGAAATCCCTGTAGGGGTCATGCAGCATCGCCTAAATCTAAGCATGGCTCACGCCCAGCGTGTCGCTTCTTCCCAGTTCCTGGAAAGGCGACACCAGCTTCCTCACGCACTCCACAGCTGCTCACATTATGTCAGGGCTCAGTGGGCAATTCAAGTAGCAGGTCAAGTGGGACTCACGCCGCGTCCCCACCTGTGCATTGCCGGCCTTGTGCATGTCCTGGAGCAAGGAGGGTCGTCTTCCCTGCGCATGCGTGGCTGCGAGTGGCCAAGCGTTCGGCACAGTGGTGGGTGCAGCCCTGCGTGCTCCTTCACAGTACCCGTGGGATTTGCAGCCTGTGGAAATCCCGCTAGCCGTGCGCCTTGGGGCCACCGGGACTCAGCTTGGCCTTACTCTCTGTGCAAGGTCCCCGCGCAGAATACTGGACCAGGAGGAAGGGCTCCTTGGTTTCGCCTTCGCCCACGATGCTCTCCTCGTCCTCCGACTGGCTGATCCGCTGGAGGCGCAGGTAGCACCAGCAGCCCAGAATCAGGGCGCCCAGGGCTGCGATGGCGATGAGGATGACGATGACCGTCACCACCCCCGTGGTGGGGCTGTGGTCCATGGACATGGCGAGCGGCTGCAAAGGCGCCTCGGCCCTCCTGGCTGGCAGCTGCTCCCTCGCCAGAGGAAGGGGGGGGCTCAGCGCCTGCAGAGGCAGAGACTGGTGAGGCCGGGAAGGCACGCGGGGGCCCCTCAAGGACAGCCCCGCACCCCGAGGAGCCTGGCTTGCGTCAGCCTCAGCCTTCCCGGAGCCTCCGGCCAGCTTGGCCAGCGGCTGCCCAAGCGAGAAGCCTTGCCCGGCGCCGGGCAGGGTTAGGGCCCCGGCTCCTTCCGCCACAGGCTCTGCCTCCTCCCCCCCCGGCCGGCTCGGAGAAGCCGGGAAACCGGCTCAGGTCTCCCGGCGGCTGAGCGGGCATTTCCCGGAGAGGGAAGCTCCCGGGGGCTCCAACGGCCCCACCCCCAAGGCCCCCCCACCCCCCGAGGACGGCCCGCCGCCTCCCAGGCTGCCCTCCCCCTCCC